AAGTTTGGAGGCCTTTAAAGAAATACGAAATTTGAAATATATCCGTCGTGCTCCAAAATAGGTTGAATATGATGCACAATATCTGTAAATGGCAATCTCGCGTTTGTATTTTGAGCCTGGTGGCTGTATTTTTTTGTTATAAACAGCCCACTCTAGCAAGTGCTCGGAAAAGGCCCAGCTTAGAGCACGTGACATCCGACGTAATCGTGACGTAGGTCGTCTCGGGACGTGCAAAGCTACGGATGGCCTAGTCGTTCCAGCCACTGAAGCGGCTGCTCTTGTACGAATTTTGAGTGACAGGTTAATCTTTTATAACCTTGTAGGGGGCAATAGCTACTTATGGAACACACCAAAGGGATTCTCGCGAAGAGGGGAGTTCCTCCTTCGCCTCTTCTCTCGTCGTGGCCGGAGGCGAGACAACCTCTGTCACTAGCTGTCAAGGTTCCTAGACAGGCATTACAAATGAGGCGTTAGCGACATCCACCAAGGGCTCTTTGTTAATCGTTTAATTCATTTTAAAATTCTTTTTTGTGACTTTTTTAACAAGATATTGGTGTGTTCGATGTGAGACTGCTCCTTTGAACACATATAGACCATAAAATAAGCGCCGAAATTTCGTTGTAGTATACCTTTAAAGGGAAGAACGGGAGCGAGAAATAGGGAGAAAGTCGAGGGGGACAAGGGGGCAGAAAAGCACGGAGAGGAGGCAACACCTCGCGACTCTGCACGCGTTACTCCGCCAAATAGTTTGGGCATTTGGGCGCCAGTTCTGGTTACATTCTGCATCAACGGTGCCTTCTTCATGCAAATACAGCACGTAAACTTTTGTCCAATGTCCCAGTGATTCGGAAAAAGCGCAAGTGTACATTTACTGAAGTACTTAGGATACGATCAAGAGAAAACGTACTCTTTTGGACGTGACCGCGACGCCGGCCCTCTTGTCTAGCGTACATACGCTGTGCCACTCCGCCGCTCCTGTTTCCTTTCTAGGGCATTGGATTGCATCCGACTACACTTTGCAGGTTGCCTTAGGTCTAAAGGTGGGGCGACACGATAGGAAGCAGACACTGACGCAATACCTAACATTTTTCGTTACGTTTTAATGCACGCGATTAGAGAGGTACTGGTACACATATAGCTCTCGCCACGAATGCCCCTTACCTCTTCCCATGAGCACAATATATATTTGCTCCACAATGCGTGCTACCGCGGCTTAACTTTACATAACATCCAGCATGTGCTCCTGCCATAAAATAAACATATCATGCAAGCCCTTTGCTTTGATACGGACGCCAGTGGCTCAGTCACGCGAATGAGCCCGCTCACCGAACGGTACACAGCGACAGTCGAGAGAACAGATTGACTGCACCGAGAGCCCACCACCGGCTTGGTCTGTTTCGACAAACAAACCTGGTCGAATTTCGCGCACTGCCTCTTCCGCGAACGTAGGGGCGAACGCACAAACACTGACGATTGAGACGATAGAACCCACAACGGCCACACAGAGAAGACGCCATCTTTTCTGCTCAAGACAGGTGTCCCCGTGGTGCGTATTTGAATAAACACTAATAACAAATTATATACAAACAGTGTATATTATTTATTTTTTATTTATAAATACCTAAAATTACAAATAATAAATAGTAAAGAATTGTTATTTATATTTTGTTTTGTTTTAAACTGGAACCAACAGTTACAACTCGAACTATTTGCAAGTGCGCCGGAAGACAGCGTGTTTCGTTTCGGACATATTTCGGATCACTGAACCCTGTGTTTCGGATCCTAAGCATCCTAAGTTTGCGGCGTGCTAAGAAAAGTTGTCTTCAGAGCTCAAAGGCTCAGAATCTTCCACCGTACTCTCGGCGTGGCGACCGACCGAGCAACGGAAACCTAGCGGCGCTCATTCCCTCGAGTTCTTGACGTTCAAAACAAGCTGCTCTTTCCCATCAAGGGTGCCCCCGTTTGAAAGGTTCGTGCTGGTCTTATCGTTGTTGCACCGCGTGTTTCGCCATGCCAAAGGCGAAGTCGAAGTCTTGGGCAGGTCGCGCGGGTGCTAGACTATCAAGGAGCTCCTTTCCTTTACTTGAAGCTTTTGACGAGGGGCCGATTCCGTTGACAGCGCCATTGGTTAGGGCAGTCCTTGAGAACGAGACTACGCGTGAGCACGCCGGCGCCAGTTCCGAAACTATGGAGGCGGGGGCACGGACATCTTTACCATCTCAAGAAGATAGTGAAAGGGAGTTTAGTTCAGACTCTTTGCACTCTGTCTCTTGCTTTGACTTTAAAGAGGACAGCGATGATGTTAATATTCGATCCGATTTGAGGCGATGGATGTTGGAAGAGAACTTAACGCAAAAGGCCGGAACCTCTCTGCTAAAGCTACTCAAAAAGCACAACTGCTTTAATGATTTGCCACAAGACTCTAGGAGCTTGCTCAAAACTCCAAGAGCAACTGCAGTTGAAGCTGATATTAACGTAGTCACCCCAGGAAAATACTGTCACTTTGGGCTGCTGGATGGGTTACGGCAAACACTGCAAGGCTTTGAGGAGCTTCCATCTGTAGTCAATCTTTATTTTAATATAGATGGACTTCCTGTATCAAAAAGTTCAAAGACTCAGCTGTGGCCGATACAGTGCAAGTTAGCCAAGTGTGAGCTTCCACCTTTTATTGTTGGTATTTATGAGGGAAAAACGAAGCCTAAATGCTCTAATGAATTTTTATCACGGTTCGTCAGTGAGCTGAAGACTGTTTTGGCAGACGACGTAGAAGTAGGTGCAAAGGTTGTGAAAATCTCTGTCAAAGGCTTTGTTTGTGACTCCCCAGCGAGAGCATTCGTGTTCATGACCAAAGGGCACAGTGGGTACAACTCTTGCCCGAAATGCACTGTGGAAGGGAGTCATCTGGGAAGAGTTTGCTTCCCCGAAACAGCAGCCACGTTGCGTACTGATCAGTCTTTTCGTGGACAGGAAGATCCTGACCACCACCATGGAGTGTCAGTGTTAACCGAGCTTCCCATAGACTGCGTGCAACATGTACCGCTAGATTACATGCATTTGGTTTGCCCGGGGGTAATGAAGAAGTTGCTGCAGCAGTGGGTGGGAGTGGCACTGGGGCCTGCAGGGCGCAGTGCTTTGTCTGAACGGAGTGAATCTTTCGAGCATTTTATGCCGCGGGAGTTTGTCAGAAAACCCAGGGGGCTTGACGAGCTTGACCGTTGGAAGGCGGTGGAATTCAGAACATTCCTGTTATACACAGGACCAGTTGCACTAAAGTCAATTGCTGCTGAAGAAGTGTACTGCCACTTTATTGCATTTCACTGTGCAATATCACTGCTTGTGCATAAAAGGCTATACTATTTGCAAAATGGATATGCTAAATCTCTTCTGGAGTCTGTGGTCCAAGAGTTTTCCAGGTTGTATGGTGCAGAGCAGGTATCGCACAATGTCCACTGTCTTTTGCATCTTGCTGACGATGCTCTGTGCCATGGACCGTTGGATTCGTTTAGTGCGTTCCCGTTTGAAAACAACATGAAACAAATTAAGAAAATGCTTCGCAAACATGAGGACCCCCTGCTTCAGCTGTGGAATCGGAAAGAAGAAAACAAACAACAGACAAGCAACTCTCCTGTGAGGGTGCTTCCACCATATCAATTTGGCAAATCCCACAGCTCCGGTCCAATGTTGCAACAGTGCTGCCCACCACAACATTACATGGTAAAAATGCCCATGTTCACTTTGGCTGTCAACAAGGCTGATGGATGTTGCTTTGTAGAAGATGATGTCGTTCAGATTCTGAACATAGCATTCCTCGAGTCTGGGGAGCCCTGCATTATTGGGCAGAAGTACAAGTTCAAGGAAAACCTTTATGAACTACCGGTTGAATCTTCGCGCTTTGGCATTTGCATTGTCTCTGACATCTCAACGTTGCTGCAAGCTTGGCCCCTGAAGGATGCTAGGAAAGCTGTGAGGCTTCCCTATTGTGGAAGATTTGCAGTATTTCCAATAATTCATGCGATCTAGCTATTGCAACCCAAATGGTCTGGAACAGTGAGAATACATACTGACTTGTAAGCTTCCAATGGTGTTACTTGGTGAAGTCTAAAATTGTAGTCGTTGTCTATTCTAGATGGCTTTTGCAATTGTGGAATTCATCAATAAGCGGCTAGTTGAAGTCGTTCCTTCATCATGGATCAATGGAAGCATGTGTTTCTGGCCCCCTGGAAAGCCTGAAAGAATTAACAAGTTAGTGAGAGCTTCAGCGAAAACTCAAGAAGATTGGAAGCAGCATGCTGTGGAGATCAAAGAAGTCTTCTGTAAGTTGCAAGTTCAGTTATTGCTTAGAATTAGAACGTGCCTCATTTGCATGCTACTTACTCACAAGCGGTGAATTTGGGCCATTGTGCACAATATAAAGATGGAGATACTGGTGTGGCAATCAAGATGCTATACACCGTTTTGGTTTTGTATGATATAAAATGTCACTAAAATGAACATTGTTTTTATTTTCAGCTTCATATGAGCGAGCCAGAAAAAAACTGGAAAAGTCACAGTTTACGTCGGATCTCGCCTCAACTGATGAGGAAGTGCAGAGACGCCCTGTGCAAAGGCCCAGACGGTTCATATCTGATTCGGACTCCGACGGCTCACCACCTAAAAAAAAAGCAAAAAAAGCAAGCAACCGTGCATTGACAGTGCACCAACTTTATCCAGCACTACCAGGGGATTTTCCCTCTCCACTTGCGTCAGGTAAGTGTTAACCAACTTAATGGGACTGCTGAAGGGAGGTAAAATTGAAGTGTGGGAATGAGCAGGTCAAACAAATAATTATACTAGCACATGTAAGACATTTTTTAATCCATATCTGCATTTCACCAAATTTCAGCCACTGCAGCTTCGGGGCATGAGACCGGCCTTGGCACCTCAGCTCATAGCCCAGGTATCTTGTTCTCTAATTAAGAAGCGTAACTGAGTTTATAAACACAGTTTTGAGCCTTTGTTATTTCAGGTGGTGTTTTGACCTTAGAAGCACAAGGCCCATCCACCTCAGGTTCAACAGGTTAGTTTATAATTGGAGCATTAGCTAGGAGCTAATTGTGCAGATATTAATTATGACTCATGAGCTATTGTTTCAGACATTATTGTTATATGGTTGTCGCTTCTAATTACCAATAGGGCCTAAAAGTAAAAATTTTCCATTAGGATTCATGTTTTAATTTTAGGGCACATCTCTGAGGCACACGTTTCTGGGTTGAGAGGCGTCGCTGTCGGCTTAACCGCGCATTGCATTATAGGATGTTTCCCATAGTGACGTCACACGCGATACCACTTGACCGGGAAAATTTTTCTGCTAGGGGGGAAATTTTTCTGCTGAATTTAGCGGAAAAATTATTTTCACTAAATTTAGCGGAAAAATTTCACGCCAAATTTAGCGGGAAAATTTTACCCTCGTGACATCGCACGTGACGTCATGTCTGACATCACGTGAATGAATGTGGAGTCACTGGAAATTTAGCGGAAGATCTTTTCCGCTAAATTTAGTGGAAAAATTTCCCCGCTAAATTTCGCAAGGATATTGACGTCCCGTGACCTCAACACCAATTCAGTTTCCCCACTAAATTTAGCGGGGAAGTTTTCGCTAACTCTCCGGCTAAATTTAGCAGGAATATTTCCCCGCTAAATGGGACGTACGGGAGCAGGACAGGAGGAGGGGCATACCCTCCCCTCCTCCTCCTCAAGAGCTGTGCTCTAAGGCATCAGTTCAGGTTACAAATAGTATAAATGACTTCAGGTGGCTATTCTCGGGCTGCCTTTACTAACACTTCTAAATAAAGTAGTCACTTTTAAAGAGAAGCTGCTATGTAGGGATGACATGAAGGTTTTTATAGGTGCTAATTTTATTGTTGATTTCAAGAATGTTTCTCTGCACATTGTGTCTAATGCCTGGGTGAAGAACATTCATATTGCAGTGGTGTACAGCAAAATAATGCCTCCTAGCATATTTCAGTTGTGCAGAGCAAATTAAGTTCACCTTAATCCCGTAGAAACTTGAGTTTTATTTTTTTTTTTGCAGACATAAAACGTGAAAATTTTCTTGCAGCAAACATGAAGAAATGTACAGGATCTCCTCGAAAAAATGATGGCCTTTCTCAACGAGGTAGGTCTAACTCTAAACTTCAATACTCTTTTTTATAACAGGCCTATACATTTAGTGACATGTCTTGAAAAGCCACCACCCCAACTGTTCTTGTTCTGTTTCAATCTGCTAGTCTTTCAAAAGCAAGTTCTACGACATCTGCAAGTAATGAGGCTCATGCTGGAGCAAAACAGAGAACTTTTGGAAGCCTTGCAAGCTGGGAACATGCGCAGCGAAGCCATAGTCCCCTCACTTCTGCCAGAGCCATTCAATGACATGCAAGATTTCACATCGTTTGACGAGACAATTCAGGAGGCCACAAGAGATCAGCTGGTAAGAGTCTGCTTAAGATGCACTGGTAAAACTTAGGATTGTCTGTAAATGGTTTCCAGACGCTCTTGTATCTAATTGCAAAAATATTACAATGATTATCTAAGTTCACATCAAAAAAGGACTAAAGGAGCATTATTCGTTTCTCGATAGGGGTTATGCCGGGTCTGCAAAAGCAGTGAAAGCAAGCCTTTAAAATGGGAGTCTGACAAAAGTATTTATACTCTTGCCAGACTCCCATTCCCATGATGATACACAGTCATATATGTATCATCATGAGGTACGATATATACCTATATGTATACATCTTACCTCATTTCATAAATAAGCATAGTAATTGAATGATTAATGCAGTGACCCAAGGCACTCTGTCATTTCTGTTTGTTGATAACTTATGATTGCTATATAACAGGAAAGTAAAATAAGTATTGGAGGAAAAGCGCATATATAGTTAGCTAAGTGGTATCGGAAGTGTTCAGGGAAGGCGGCGGGGAAGGGGGGGTCAGGATAGAGATGAGGATTTCCCTTCCCTTCCCACTAAGTGCTCGCTATAAATGTCAGGGACAATCACGCCTCTGTTGCTACACCAAACACCGGTGGGCAGCAAATTGGTTAACTGGATCAATTGATTCATAGTTTCAAAGGTAACAAGCACTAAAATAACCAGGACCAAGATGAAGTCACTCAACACAAAGCACACTTGGAACTGTTATTTATTCAGAAAGAAAATGTATTATACAGGCCCCATCAGCAAGTCTATGCTCCGTCTCGGCTTAAAGGCCGACAAAGAAGCAGAAAGGAGGAACTCCTCCAGCCTCTTTTACCCTCTCCACTTGATACCTTCCTCAGCGTGGCTCCCTTCACTGTTCTGGGGGAAAGGGTGATTCTGCCTGTGCAGAACTCAAGGTTGTACGTCAGGCTTTGAGGATTGAAAAAACGGTTGGTTGGGGCAAACCAAATGTCTGCCATTCAAATCAAGTGCAGCCTATGGCTGCATTCCGAGCCGGCGTTTGATTGGCCTCAGTCACTTGTAGCATTGGCTACGCTCGGACTTTAGTCAAAGTGAAGTATATAGTTGCAACACATCAATGCAAGGCATTTCATAGAAATTAAAACTTCTTGTTTGATAGTATGGTGTTTTACAATGTTAACGTTCTTGCTAGATACAGTGACAAGCAGGAAGCTGCATAAGACAAGCGAAATCTGGGTCAAATACAAAGATTGTGTGAGCAAGGGATCGATTGCATCATTAAAAAAGAGTTTGAATTCTTAACATATTATTTCCACCGACGTGATGATGATTAGACTGGAATGGGTCGTATATAATGTGTTCTTTCTGAATGAACAACAGTTGCGAGTGTGCCTTGATTTATCTGATTCTTTGTGCTTGTTACTCCGGCATTTGTTGCCTTTTTAAACTGGTGAGCATGCGATTACAGTCACATAAAATGGTAAAATTTTGCGGTTGTCATATCATTCTGCTTAGAAGAAATATTAGCTTTTATTTATATACAGCATCTTATTTTACACATTTATGCAAACTTGATAACAGTAGTCTCATATGGGCTTAATCAAGGAGTAAAAATACAGAACTCAGCCCAACTGAACTCTATAAAATGTATAAAAATGGTTGCTATTGTAAATGCCTATTGTTTTCCTCAGATTGCCAACTTGAAATCTTTCAGTGGGGACAATGTATCTTGTAACACAAGAAGAGTCTTGGAGTATCTTATGACGGACAACGTGGCCCAAAACTACAGCTGGATTGGAAATAAAGGAAAGAAAAAATTCTGTGAGCTCAAAGTGAAACAGATCATTACTGGTAAGCAATTCTATGATTTGTGAAAGATATGTTAGAATTTGCTAACTGTCCAGTTAACGCAATAAACATACATAGCAAGTTTTCTCATTTGATCATAGCTCTTGCTGACTGTAATTCATAATGCGTGAACAATTCATATAGTAGGTTTAAACACTTACAATTAAAATAATTACAGTTGCAGGCACATTACTAATGTTTATTTTAAAACTCAAACTTCTTAGCACAGACATTTTGAGGTATTGTTGTAACAAAGAGCCTACGCCATGTCGTGTGTCACAATCTGAAAAACTAAAAAAAGAAAATCTTGAAGCTGTAGATGAATATGAGAAACCTAGGCTTTACGGAAACAAATCTTTCAGCAGTGCTTTCTTATGTTGCCCTGGAAGCAGCCGTCACCCTTTCTACAAGACTGCTTTTTACATACCGTAACCATTACCTCATTTTTTTCTTATTGGTAGCAGGACCGCTTTCAAGTATTTAGGTCACATGCTTGTTTCTTTGTTGTTTTTTTTCAAAGTCTTAGTAAATGCAACTTTTTGTTCATCACCAAAGTTGTGGTAAAAAGAAAACAACCTAAAATACATTATTTTGTTTTAGAAAATAAAACCAGAAATGCGTATTATTAATTATAAATTAGTGACTAAGTTGGTACTTACGTTTGTTGCCGTGTTAAATTGTTTTCAGCCCTCTCATTTTGCATTAAAACTGCATTCTATATTACTTTAATTTCAAGATGCTGTAAGATCAAACCCAAAGTTTACTGCAACAGTCGACGACGTGGAGAGGGAGATTAAAAAGTGGCTACAGCATGCTTCCTGCCGAATCAAGCTCCGACAAAAGAAGGTTCAGGTAACATTTTTTATCAATTATGCTTATTTTTTCATTTCCATAAATTATTTTCAACACATTGTAATACTTCAACCAATCCATATTTTACCATTTTTACTATTGCGATGTAAGAAAAGGAGAAAGAGGGGCGGGTACCTCTGTATGATAGTATTCCGTTCGGAAATATCTACACAAACAAGTTCTCTTTTAGTACAGAAATTGGAGCAAGCGCTAGGCAGTAAGTGAAGCAATTTAAGATTTTTGTTTGTGCATGGAAAATGTCTAAATCAGTTTCTGTAAAGCTTTCTCATACGAAATCATAACCCCTTTCCACATAAATTGTATTGGTGCCAAAAACTTACGCTGCCTTCACTTTGATACAAAAGTACCCAAACCAGGCTTGTTTTTTCTAAAAAAAATCGCTCAGTTGCGACTTTATTACAACTATAGTGTCACTCCTTTTTACTTGCATTAAGAAAAGGCTATTTTGATGCGAACAAACAAAAAAAAGAAAACAGAAGTATCATATCGGATGTCATAAGGAAACATTTTTTGTAATGAGAAGTATTTCTGTCCAATAGTTTGTCAGGCTGGTGTACAAAAAAATATGACACCCCTTGTGCCTCTGTAGTGCTGGAAGTTGCAGTATTGCACTCCCAGTGAAACGCCTTAAGGCAGTTGTGCTTCCTGTTGAAAAGGAGATGTCTATCAGGCGAATACAGGAGGGCAGTTTAGAGTGCAGTCACTTCTCTTGCCAGGTGGGGAAGTGGTCCATCTCGTCTTGGTGCACATCAGTAGGTTGCAGTGGCGCCACTAGGATTCTCCTTTTGCTTGCATAGATATGCGCATCCATTCAATAGTTTGGTCTCCCTGGAGGCTTCCCATCATGCAGCTTCCCTGCTTTGCATAATCCCTCTGCGACATATGATTTAAACTCGAACAGCAATGTCTTGCAGTACCCTTGTCTTCATTACAGGAGCCACGCATTCAGTACCGTCAGGTCCATCATGTGGAAGCATATGCGGTGGTACCGCTTCTTTGCTCTAGTTTTGATGCAACAGTACCCCAGTATTCAGTCTAGGAGTTCCAGTCCACCTATGTGAGTTTTGCATACGAGCATTGCTTGCGGTGAATGCATGATTATGTGTGGTTTGTCATTCGTAAAGTAACCTATGACTTCTTTTATAGCTGTATATAAAAAAGGAACCTAAAAAAAAAGACCGATACCAAAAATCGTTACATCGACAAGTTAATCTTTTGACTCCAAAGCAGGGCGATACGGCAATATATGCCTGCATAAAAGCGCGTTTCCAACTCTTGTTTTGCTGAAAACTTTGCAATCAAATTATAAAGAAGTACTCTCTGCCAAATTAATTTCTTCTGAAGATGGAGCCACTGGACGTGTGGTTTCTAGGCGTTACAAATTTTACTCTGAATATGAAAGGTATTTTTGAAAATATGGGTATGCATTGCTAAAAAAGAAGCATGCGTATCGTATACGATATACCGTTTACTAAGGGGCTAACATTTTTCTCAACCACTACAAACCCACAAGGCTTTTCATATGAACCTTTACGTGCCTTATTATTGATTTGAAAAGAATTTTATTCATGCAGGGTGCACAGAACTGAAGTCATCTCAAATCGCCAAACCACAGGTTGTCAAGCCCAAGTTGTCAAGCCCAAGTTGTCAAGCCCAAGTCGCCAAGCCCAAGTCGCCAAGCCCAAGTCGCCAAGCCCAAGTCGCCAAGCCCAAGTCGCCAAGACCAAGTTGCCAAGCCCGTTGCCAAGAAGGCAGCAAGTTTTTTTCATGTTTTATATTTTATGTATTATATTTTAAACTTGATATAAACTATAATAAATAATTTAATGCCTGTAACGCCAGACTGTGGTAGCTTTTTGCGTGAATAAAAGAAAATTAAATTAAGACAATATTTGTGTATTTTGCAAATTGTGTGATGGGAAAACAGTCAACAGGTGAAGTTGTTTACATACATCACTCAACCATTTTATACTCATTGCTCACTCTGGAAAAAGTGAGCAGGAAGTATGGGATTGTCCAAAAACCGACTATGTTACTGGCTTACAGGTTCTTTATATTGGTTGCAGATTCATAATAGTAGACGGTGTTCTTATAAAAAGCCCTTACATATACCTAGCATAAAAAAAAATTAGAAAAATTCAGATAGCAGCTGCTAAGTGCTTTTTTATTGTCAC